ACCATTTGATGAATAAATATGAGAGATGCCCTCACAAAAAAAAAAAGAAAGAAAAAAGAAAAAGAGCTTCAGAGTATAAGGATGTTGACAGATTAACAGTCCAGAAGTTCCAGAGTGCCCAATGGAAGATTTTGACAGGGAAGAGAAGAGTGGAAAGTCCATCAGATGAGGGGATATGTACAGAGTAAGGGGAGGACAGCAAGGGCAGCAACTGTCCACCCAGGAGGCATGGACTTCAACACAAATCCAGTCAAAGTCCCAGTAAGTTACTTTGTGGATATTCACAAACTGATTCTAAAATTTTAAGGAAAGGCAAAAGCCAGAATAGCTAACACAATGCTGACACCGGACAAAGTTGGAGGACTGAAACTACCCAACTTCAGGCCTTACTATAAAGCTACAGTAACCAAAAGAATGCGGTATTGGTGAAAGAATAGACAAATAGGTCACTGAAATAGAATAGAGAGCAGCCCAGACATAGGAATACAGTCAAGTGACCTTTGAAACAGGAGCAGAAGCGATTCAATGGAGAAAGGATAATCTGTTCAACAAATAGCTCTGGAACAACTGGATATCCACATGCAAAAAAAGAATAATAAGCAGATTGTATATCTTTACAAAAATTTACTTAAAATGGATCATTCCCTTGAATGTAAATGCAAGACTATTAACTAGAAGACAGCATAGGAGAAAACCCAAATTACCTTGAGCTTGGCAATGACTTCTTAAATACAACAAAAGCATGACAAATGAAAGAAAAAAATTGATAAATTGGATTTCATTAAAATTAAAAACTTCTGGTCTGCCAAAAACACCGTTGAGAGAATGAAAAGACAGGCTACAGACCTGTAGAAAATTGATCTGAGCACTACATGAATCCATGGGATGGTTATCCACAGTGGCTAACCACAACTAGGTGATAACTACACACCTAAACAAAGTACCTTAAAATGTTTGGTGTTAGAGGGTGGAGGAACAATGCCAACAACAAAATATCGTGAAATGCAAACATAAAAGAGCAGTTTTAAAACTAATATTAGGAATCATAAAAAATAAAAATAGTTTCACTTTAGAACTATTAAGGCCAACGATCAACAGAGAAATTATAAATGATATATGTTCATATAAGTTATGCAATAAAGAGCAATAGTTCTATTAAGTGAAAAATTAAATAACATAAAAAGAAATGACAAAAATATAACATGAGTGGGAAATTTTTAACATACTTTTTTCATTGTTTACACACTAAATATACACAGTCATGTGTAGACATAGAGCAGGGGTTAGCAAATGTGTAAGTTTATAAAGGGATAGATAGTAAATACCTTAGACTTTGGAGCTATGTGGTCTCTATTGCAATTGCTTCACTCTGCTATTGCTTAAAAGCAGCCACAGAGAGTGTGTAAACAAACTGGTATGACTATGATCTACTAAAACTTTATAAAACATTTTCCAGCTGGATTTGGCCAGCAGACAGTACTTTGCCACCCCTAATATAGAGTCTCTGAATAATATCAATAAAAATGTCAATCTCAACTGTATGTTTTGGCTATTATACACGTGTGTGCACACAAGTAAAACTCTACACCCTTCACATGGAGACTACAACTTTTCAAACACTGTGGTTCATGTACTGCATTTTAAAGAACAATTTCATTTAGAAATAGAAGGGACCCAATTTGTTCAGCACAATTTAATATCACATAAATAGCAAAAGTAGAAATTTTTTAAAAAGTAAGCAATTAGTTTTTAAAAGCTCTCAATCACTCTTGAGCCAAGCAAATTCATGTATCTAATGTAGAATATCTAGAAGATAATACCAATGAAATGATATAGATCAAACCAGCACCAGACACCTAAGCTGTGAGCTAAAGTTAAAAATGTTCTAAGAGAAAATCCATCCAAAGCTTTAACTTTTTCATTTTCAATCAACAAAGAATAGAAATGGAACAATTTCACTAAATTAATTACTACTTACAAATAGAGGGTCTGGATAGATCCTAGCTAATAGTTGTAGAACAGTCAAACCCAGGAAACAGCACTATGACAGAATTATATTACTTTCTATGAATGAAATCTCTCTCTGCAAGAGTGTGCTATGTTTCTCATGACTGTGAGTCTAAGAGGAAATGCAGGACTCCACCCCACAGCCCACTCCAAACTCCCATCCTAAGACACCTGCTGAAAGGTTTAACAATGATTTATATATGTGCTGAGGGGATCACAGAAGCCAGATGGTCAATATGATCACATATAATTCTATTTGCAAAGGTGAGCAGACAAGCAAAAATCACCAGACATATGAAGAAAATGAGCTGCTTTATTAAAGAAGGCTGCTCAACTGAGAAGTCATAGTAAATACTATCCAATGAAACAATTTATTTGAGACACTGGAAATCACAATGGAAAAGATATACATATCTCCATATTTTTCAGGAGATTTGAGTATCATTTGAATACTAATAAAATAAGAACAGCTTCTTTTGACAAAGGAGAAATTAAAATAAATACATATTAAAATTTAAATTACAAAAAAAAATTAAGCATGAATATCAAAATGGACAGAATTGCAAATTGAATTAATGAAAAGATGGCTAAGTCTCCAAAACTGAAATAAGAAAGAGGAATATGGATGTGTGCAATATAAAAGACAACTCTAGATTCTAGAAAAAAAAATGTGAATAAAAAATTTTACTGTAAACTAAATTCTTATTTATTATTAAGGAAAAAAGGAAGATTTTCAGACACGTAAAACCTCAGAAGGATATACTCACAGATCTTTCTGAAAAAAGTTATCTCATGTTAGTACTTGAGTGGAAAAATCATTAGTACCTACAGTTATCGTCTAGTTTGGTGGTTTGGGGGAGACTGGAAGGACAGAAGGGCTGGGGAAAGGAGAACCACTTTGCCCCATCAACCTGACAGTTCCATGGGGTTGAGGTCCCCCTCATGTTGGCTAGTTTAAGGCAGTAACCATCAGGAAAGAATGGTTGCTTCTCCTCGCCCCGCCATGGAGATGGAAATAGAGTGAGGAAGGGTTCCAAAATGGCAATAAATTCCAAGAGCTCAGGAGAGACAGTAAAATCATAACTTCAGTTTACTCCAATGAATGAGAGGCACACATGTATAAGGAAGAGAGAGAAAACAAGATAGTTTAAAGATGAAGGATGAATGAATGGGCGAGTGGATGAATGGATAACCCAACAGATGTACATATATGCATATTAATAGGATATATTCTGGATGCAAAGCTTAGATATGATTTGTGTGGATTTTGTTTTTACTTTTAAATTTCTCTATTGCTTGTAAGTATTATAATCATCTATTTCTTTCGTTATAAGAAAAAAATTCTGTAGCTTTAAAATAGAAAGTTAATACTTCCTTTCTCTAAGCCTAGCATAGTTTAAAAATTACATTAAAAGTCCTCCTCCTCTGCTCGCTTCGGCAGCACATATACTAAAATTGGAATGTACAGAGAAGATTAGCATCTTCCTTCCCCTGCGCAAGGAAGACCCGCAAATTTGTGAAGCATTCCATATTTTTTTGGTGATGGGGGCATTCTAGTAAACATAATGTTCCTCATGTAATTGTAGATTAATGATACCAAAATTAAAAAATTAATTTAAAAAAGTCCTCCTAATCAACTTGATAAAGAACATCTATAGAAAACCTATAGCTGACATCATATTGAATAGTGAGAAATTAGAAGCTTTTCCAATAAGATCGGGAACAAGGCAAGAATGTTCCTTCTCACCACCCCTTCCCAATATTATACTAGAAGCCCAAACGAATTCAATAGAAAAGGAAATAAGAGGTACACAGACTAGAAAGGCAGAAATAAAAGTATTGTTGTCCACAAATGACATGGTTGTCTATGTAGAAAATAAAAAAGAATCAAAGGTAATATACAAAAGTCAATTGTTTCCATACCAACAATGAGCAAATGGGATTTTAAATTAAAAACAAGGCCATTTATATTAACACGCACAAAAATGAAATATTAAGACATAAATCTAACAAAAAATGTGCGAGATCTATATGAGAAAAATTAGAAGTCTCTGATGAAAGGAATGAAGAAAAAACTAAATGAATAGAGAGATATTCCATTACCATGGAAAGGCAGACTCAATATTTTCAAGTATCTGTTCTTCCCAACTTGATCTGTAGATTCAACATGTAACCAATCAAAAATCCAGGAAGTTATTTTGCAGATATTCACAAACTGATTCTAAAATTTATATGGTAATTCAAAAAATTCAGAATAGGCAACACAATATTGAAAGAGAAGAACAGAGTTGAAGGACTGACACTACATAACTTCAAGCCTTATTATAAAACTACAGTAATCAAGAAAGTGTGGTATAGGTGAAAGACTGGACACATAAATAGAATAAAGAGCCAAAAAATAGTTATATAGATAAGTATAGTCAGTTGATCCTTTACACAAGAGCAAATATAATACAATAGAACAAAGACAATCTTTTCAATAAATTGTGTTAGACCATGTTGGTATCCATAGGCCAACATGAATATAGACATAGACTTTATGACCTTCATAAATATTAACTCAGAATGGATAACAGACTAAACATAAAATGCAAAACTATAAAACTCCAAGATGGCAACACAGCAGAAAACTTAGATGACTCTTTAGATACAACGCAAAAGGCATGACCCATGACAAAAACAAGATAAGCTGGACTTTATTGAAATTACAGTCTTTCACTATGCAAAAGGCACTGCTGAAATAATGAGAAGCCTGGCACAGACAGGGAGAAAATATTTGCAAATGACATATCAGATAAAGGACTTACCTAAAATATACAGAGTTCTTAAAGCTCAATAAGAAAACAACCTAACAAGATGGATCAATGATCTTAACAGACATTTCACCAAAGAAGATACACAGATAGCAATAAGCATATGAAAAGATGCTCCACATCCTATGTCATCAGGAGAACGCAAATTAAAATGAGACACCACTGTACACCTATTAGAATGGCCAGGTTCTGGAGGACTGACAACAAATGCTGGCAAGGATGCAGAGCAGCGGGAACTCTGTTCCATTGCTGGTGGAGGTGAAAAATGATGCAGTCACTTTGGAAGACAGTTTGGCAGATTCTTACAAAACTAAACATCCTCTTATCATACAAATCAGCAATTGCACTCCTTCGTATTTACCTAAATGGATTGAAAAATGTAAGTCCACACAAAGTCTTAGGTGCCTAATGTTTATAGCTGCTTTATTCATAATTGCCAAAACTTGGAGGCACCCAAGACGCTTTTCAGTAGTTGAATGGATAAACCGTGGTACATCCGGACAGTGGAATATCATTTAATATTACAAAGAAATGAGCTATCAAGTCATAAAAGGACTTGAAGGGAACTTAAATGTATATTACCATGATGAAAGAAAAGGCTATGTAAGTGTGATTCCAACTATATGACATTCTGAAAAAGATAAAACTTCAGAGACAATAAAAGAATCAGTGATTGTCAGAGGTTTAGGGAGAGAAAGGAATATATGGGCAGAACACAGAATTTTTAGGACACTGAGACTGCTTTGTATAATACTAATGGTGGGCACATGTCATATATTTGTCCAAACCCACCAAATGTACAAACCAAAGAGTGAACCACAGTGTAAACTATGGAATTTGGAAAATTACCATGGGTCCCATAGACTCCTTGACTGTAGCAGACGCACTATTCTGGTGAAGGATGCTGATGATGGGTAGGCATGCATGTGTAGGGACAGAAGGTATATGGAAAATCTCTGTACCTTCCATTTAATTTTGCTGTGAACTTAAAATTGCTCTAAAAACTGAAGTCTGTTAAAGAAAAAATCCTCCTCATCGGATAACTCAGACATGACATGAGAGATAATTGCACAACAATATGGTTTAAAAAAGTAAAATTCTTGTTTATGTTTTGATTCAAGACAGTCATATGGCCAGACCAGAATGCACCAAATCCCTAAATCCAAAGCATCTTTATTAGGAAAAATCTTTCCCTGCATATCCTTTCTCCATCTGTTTCTCACTTTCTTTTTTACTTTTTTAAAGGGCTGACAAAGCTGTACTACTTTAAAGGTTTGGAACAATTTACTCCTTGCCAACCCAAGGAAACAATTACTCCAAAAATAGTAGGAAATCCATTTTTGCTGAATGTAAAACATCTTCTCTATTCACAAGTTCAAATAATAAAGCAACCCACAATTGAATTAATCAAAAGCAAATTGTAAAAAAGTGAAGTGGGTGTTCTCTGATATCAGGTTACATTGAAATGTTTTACATAATTTAAAAGTATAAATAAAGTGCCACAATTACACACAGAGAGAATGAAAGGAGAATCAGCCTTAATTATAGTGAAAGGGAATTGGGTTTTTCTGTAATTTATTTGTATAATAAACATCCTATTCCTTAGAAAATTGTGCCGGGGACACCCAATTGAAGGTCAGATCAATGCCACCAGAAATGAGTTCGGTCTTGTTTTCATTTTCCTTCTTCCTAAGCAAAGTAACTCACATGCATAGTCTTCAAAGTGAACACCTGTCACCTTCACAGCCCTCCCAGCACTGCTCGGTCGGGACGCACTCTCCAAGTGCACCTTCTCCTACCGCTGCACGCGGTGCTCCGTTCATCCGCAAGGCAATCGTATCTTCAGTTTGGGTGGAAGGGAAGAACTAATGCCAGGAATAAGCCATGTCACTGAACAGAGAAACATCAGAGGATAAGGTCTCATGCAACCAATGTTAAAGTCTCCACAGACTGAGGATGCAAACAAAGTTGCTATACCTTTATTTTCCCTACTAATCACTGGAACCCCAATTCTTTATTATCAGGAAATCCACTGATCCCTTCTAACTATTAATATTGTACCCTATCCCTTTCATTATCCGAGAACCCGAGTGTCATGCTCAACCCAAAGAGGTAAATCTTCTAACGTCACACATGGAGAAAATTGTACTCCAGTGAGACTGTTATCGTCAGAGAACCTACGTCACATGGATGTCACTGAGGTTTCCCCTACACAAACCGATCAGTGATGTTTATCCACCGTAACAGTGATGCTGTTTGTTAAATCCCAGGTAAATCATGGAAGGACGACCTACTTGCTTTTCCGAAGATGGGGCCCAAGTTGACAGCTCTTAGCGATCTTAGCATACACATATCAAGCCCCAGGATGAAAGCAGCCGGAATGCTTCAAATCAAGAATCTGGTTATCAACTCCCCAAAACATGGGGTCGCATTTTTTTTTTGAATTTTCAAAAGAGTCTTATAAACCTTATTCCTGCAAAATTAAAGATATTCATTCTCCATCCGGCTGCAGAAGGTAGCCTGCACTCAATAATGCCAAGAGGATTTGCCATGCTAAGAAGGTCCGTAGGAATTTCAGGGTGATTCTCTGCTCTGGCTTATACCAAGAAGTATAGTACTTCTACTGCTAAAGAAAGAAAAATAAAATGTTGATCACCTCCAGGGCAACCCTTTGGTAAAGCATCTGGTTACACTAAGAATAGAATCCTTTGTTTTTCCTGACTTCTGAAAAGATAGTAATTTATCAAAATGTTACTCTCAACTGTTTCATGCTATATTCTCACTTACCACTTATTTTATCAATCCATTATATCCCTATACAAAAGAGGGGAAAACTGACAGTAATTGATGCATCTATTTAGTGCCAGCAACTTCTGAACCTCCAAAGAATACTGTGAGAGGCCTTACAGATAAAGGGTGACTCACTAAGTTAGAACAGCCTGTTCCAGAACTCCAGCTGTTTGGGTTGTAGGCAGTATTTGAACCCAGGTCTTCTTGTCTTTAAGCCTGGATCCTGCCTCTTACCCTAGGCTCTATAATGATCTCTGTTTGAGAAGGAAAATAAATCAAAGATATTAAATAACACATCTATGCTAGGGTCTTACACCTGACAAAAATCAGAGCTAAGAGTCAGTTCTTCCGAATGCCGACCTTGTGTTCACATTTCTCTCCTTTCAAAGAATAAGAACAAAATCACATTGCATGTATGACCATGCCTGGCTCTAAGACGTCTCCTTTCCTTCTGTCAGAGCATCAGAATGGAGAGAGGCAGATGCTAGGGAAGGCTATCGGTCATCTGGAAGAAACCCTGCATAGAGCCCATTAGCCATAAAAACAGGATGTTTTAGGACATTTTCAGAAATTCTCTTTCAGGGAACTTTTCAATACAATTATGACCTTGTCTCTGATATCAAAGGACTGTCAGCAAGCACTTACAAGGAACTCACCTGTCTGCCTAAATGCCTGGTAGGCCAGTGGAAAATTGCTCTCAATCGGGAGCAGAAGGTCAGAAGCTCTTCCTGACTGCCACAGGATCAAGACCAGGAGACAGCCTTATAGAGGGCAGCCAGGCGCCAGCCCCCCTCAGGCTTTTGTAAGAATGGATGTAACCAGCAGGAGATGAAAAATACAAGAACATAACCCATAAGGTCCTAAGATCCTTCCCTCTGGTGCCTCTGAGAATATTTAACATTTTCACTTCGGGGTACAAAAACAAAACAGAAGACAAACAAACAGAAACCTCCCTTATTTTAAGGGCAAGTCATTCCTTCAAAGACAACTTAAAGGAAGTTGAAAACCTTCAATCAAATAATAAATGTCGGAATCTACCATTATCAGATATGCCAGATGCTGTATAGAAATTATCCTAGTTAAGCCTTATGAAGAACCACAGGTGAGGATCCTGGATTTCAGCGGGTGTAGATGGTTAGAGGCTTGTTCTAAAACATGCAGCTAGCTGGGGGCAGAGCTGCTCTTTCTAGAGCACAAAACTCCGTCCCTTACAGAGAATGTAAGAATGAAATGCAGGCAGGCATGGCAGGGAGCCCTAGAAGTGCAGGACTCCCCATCTAGCCCCTAAGGCAGTGCAGTCCTAAACTCATACCCGCTACCCCCTTCTAAAACCACAGTGGGCACAGATCTAGTGAGCTGTGAGGCAGAGGAAGAGCGGCATGAACACTGGTGCCCTGGCTCAGCCAACAGCAAGCTGGTGACTCGAGGCAAGGTGCTCACCCTCTCTGGGCCCCAATGTACACATATAAAGGGGGGCCGTGGACTAGATCTGCAAGACCCCACTAGTTCTAATACTCTGAGTTTGTAATCCCCATGCATAGGTGGTTCTACCAACACTGTAGGTTGACATAAAATATTAAATTGTCAGATTTAATAATTTAGGAATGGAAGTAAAATAGCAAATGTGTTGTGTCCTCAACAATCTTTGACCCAATTCATTGAGGATGAGAGAAGTAGTGAACTTAATATACAGATTTTCGCAACACCAATTCTGCTTTTGGAAGGGAAAAGGTAAATATTAATTAACATCTATAATATTTTACAGCTCATCAAAATCACATATATAATTTTATTGAATGTGCACATGTCTTTGAAGCAGACATGTTTGTTCCTGGGTAAGATCACTAAGGGCCAAGAAGCACAACTGTGCTTGCCCAGAGGGCCAGGCCAGGAGGAACAAAGCCAGGGCGGAAATCCCTGTCTTCCTTCCAGATCTCCTGTTGCTCACACATGTATACTTTTCCTTAAGATTAACAAGCAACAAAATCCATTTTTACCCTATGATGAATTAAAATTCAACACTTATCTCCCAAGGCATCACTAGATCTATTTGGTGCATCTATTTGGAATATAATAACATTTCTGAATAGTTTGAGGTAAATTATTTGTTACGGGGCCCTAAAGGTACAGCTTTTCATCTTAAAAGAGCAAAGAGGAGGGGGGAAATAATGGAATATTTCCACATTTTGCCACTGAAAAGTAAATTATTTTTAAAACTAGAGGCTCAGTAAGTGACCGAATGAAGGTTTGACTCAGTCCTGAGCTGTCTGTCAGAACATGTTTTCCTGCCTAGAGCTAAAACCGTTGGTAATGTGCCTTTCAAACACTGTGACCAAACTGACAAACTTTTCCAGTTCTTCTTGTTGTTTGAATGAAGCGAAATTATTATTTTGCAAAAACCAAAGATGCATTAAAACGCAGTAAGTCTGCTTCTCCCCCGAGGAAAAGGGAATTAGTCCCTGGGGAGCTTTCGATGGGCATCGCTTCCTGCAGTGCAGAGTCTTACAGTTATTCAGTCTGTCAAGGTGCTTTCTGTGAGAGGGTCAGAGATTGCAGAGACCCTGTGTGGCAGAGCCAGGAGCATGGGTGCCCCTCCGGGCCTGTGGGGTGACAGCACAGGAGACCCCTGGAGCTCTGAGAGGGGAGTTGGCAGAGTTGGCTCAGAGGCAGGACTTCCTGGTGCCATGCTGTGAACTGGGGCGCACCCAGGACTGAGGAGAGGGCGCTTGGGCCACACTTCCTGACAGCAGGGAGAAGCACAAGGCTGAGCAGGACTCCCAGGCCCCTTAGTCATCTGGGCAGAAGGAGAGAACTGGCTGGCTGGGTCTCTTGTAGAGACGGGAAGGAGAAGCAGGAAGAGCTGAACTCTGGGCAGCAGGACCCTTGGTGGGCATGTACTCCAGAGACCCTCTCTTCCGGTCCGCAAACCACGGGCACAGCCATGACAGGTCCGTGAGGATCTAACCAACCAGCTTCTAATCCCATTTAGACATTAAGCTCTGTGACAGTAAGCAAGGAGCACCTCCTTCTGAGGGGCTCAGATTCCTTAACCGCATAATGATGAGGTCGCTTGCCACGCCTCCCTGTTGGAGTTTTGTGAGTGTCCTGCAAATGAACTCTTGAAAATGTTTGGGAGAGGCAGATAGTTCAGTACCACAAATATGAAGCTTCCAAATACAAATACATGTATGCAATGATGTAGTCCAAGTTTACATAAATATGGGCACTATTTGAAAAATCACAGAAACCTTGAAATCACTATTATTCTTCCACTTGGGGACAGTATCAAAATGCTGGGCTGCAAACCTCATTGTTATCAATCCCGAGCATAAGCAGCTTTCATAAAAGTGCCCCTTGGACTGCAGCAGACTCTAAGGCCCCATGAAATGTTCTTTAAAGGCTTAACAGACTGTGAGTAGATCTCTGGGGGAGGATTAACCAGTTCTTTCAAAAAAAAAAAAGAAAGAAAAAAAAAACTATATGCATTTATAATAGGGTCTTGCATCTAGCTCTGATTTCAAGAAATGGTTTTGAAATTTCGCTGAGATAACAACCAGAAGAACGATGTCTAAAAATAAAACCTGTGTCATTTCTTCATGTTCTTAAGTTCATTCTTTCCCATAATGTCCCCGTAGAAACTGTCAATCAAATCTCCTAATTATATTCTTCTGATGACGGAGGTCAGAGATCCTTATGCAAATCTGGTCAAAGGCCCTTTTGTGTATGTGTATTCTTCTCAAAAGAAGAGTATATTGGGTTGTGAAAATACCACTAATCTTCTATGTGGGTTAATTAATAGCAACTGCACTGTGTCCACTGAGCTGAAATGGGAAACAATTTCCAAACTAAATTCCAAAAGCCATGTTGAATCACTTACTTGGTCAAAGCCCTCTTTATGTCAGATTAAGGAATATCTCTCAAAGCAGTGTGGGTGGTATTCTTGATGTCTGCCTGCCCCAAGCCTTCTGCAAACGTAAGGAATATTCTCTGTTGAGAGAAACAGACAGAGGGAGAGAGGTCATTGCTAATAATCAATACCATATTATACATTTATATATTTAGTCATAAGCATATATATGTAGTTATGTTTCATATCTATTTCATAAAAGGCTTGAAGCCAAGAGAATGACAAAGTTCATTCAGTTTTATAACTTATAGCATTTAAATCCCCTTTACCTCATGTGATCCTCATAACAGCCCTTGTGGTTTATCCTCCCTCATTCTACTGATGAGGAAACCAATATTCAGAGATAACTGGTAGCACTGTATCATGCTTTGAGCCAGGAAAAAAACCAGATAACAGAAACAAAAAACTCAATGCTTCCCTAAGCTCCCATGGACCATCTACAACAGAACAATCTCCAGCGTTCACTAAAATTCGGATCCTGGGCCTCATTCCTTAACACCTGAGTCAGGACCCTCTGTCCTGGTCCATTATTTTACTCCAAAAGAAAGCACCAATGATCATAGAGACATTATAAAGGCAAAATCAGTTCATCTTTATAGGTTCCCCATACAGGACTTGAAGACACACTAGAAGACCCTTAACAAGTGTTGCTGAATCTGCTGAAACCCTCCTTTTCAGCCACATGCTAACAGTCGGGTATACACCCATCCCCTGAGCAGTTTCCATGGCCCGTATCCCAGGGCACCCAAGAAATGATTTTGACTCTTCAGCCTCCTTCTCACCCACTCTTTGTTCCTCCTATACATTCTTTAAGAAGCCCTCCGGCTCTCCTCACTGAGGGCTGACCTATCCCTTCCAGCAGCCACCGTGCTCAGGGTCTACAGTACACGCAGGAGCCCATGAAAGGTTTTCAGTTCTTTTAAAATCAGAAAAGAAGTCAATGTCACGTAGCTTGGATTATAATCATCTTTATGCCATCATAATCAGATTTCTTTGCAATACTACCCAGACTTCTTTGAAATAGGAGAGGGAGAGCAAGAGAAACCTTAAAACTAGCAATCAGAGTTATTAGCAGAAGACTGGGCTCAAATCAGAACTACCTGTGTCAGTCCAGTGGTGCGAGAGTGGGCAGCTTCGGCTCTTGCAAGGCTGCCAGGAGAGAAAAATGCAAAATGAGCAAAGCTGTACATCCAGGCAGGAGTCAAACCCAAATTACTTTACAAACATAATGAAGAATGAGAGAAATCTATAGAATCTTATTTCCACACCCTGGTTATTGAGAACACTCTTTGCCAGTCAATTCTAATAATTGATTAGCTAATAAGAGGCTGTGTCAATAGCTCTAGGCAACAATGGGTCTAAGCACCAGGAAACACCTTTCTTGCTGGAAAAATGGAGAAAGATTAAAGGAAAAAGGAAAAGGCTGTGGGAACAGCTTCCATCAGGAGAGTCACTTGAAGGAACAAACTCCCAATTTTGTTATGAAAATGCTTTTGGCTTTTCAAGAATTCAGACTGGTCTCTTTGGAACTCATCCACATTAAGAGCATTTTCCTCAAAGTGCAAAACAGCAGTACTTAAGTTCAGAACAGATTAGTGATATCTGTATTCAAATTTCATCCTTTCATTAAAGACAGATATATACCCCTTGTCATTTCCTGTATTTGCATCAATGTGAAGAAGGTTGACAACATCAACTGCGGCAGTCAACATGCAGTGGAGGAAAACTTTTATTTTGTATGTGTTTCTTTTTTTCCAGCCTTGAGATATAATTGACATATAACATTGTGTAAGTTTAAGGTGTCAACGTAATGATTTGATACATGTACATATTGCAAAATTATTATAAGGTTACTTAATATATCTAATAATCACCTCACCTAACTAGGTGATGTGTGATCACCTACTTTGTGTGATGAAAATATTTGAGATCTACTCTCTTAGCAGTCTTTAAATATATAATATGGTATGTTCAGTACAGTCACTATACTGCACATTACATCCCCAGAACTTATACATCTTATACATGGAAGTTTGGGCCCTTTGACTAGCATCTCCCCCATTTCGTCTACTTCCCACTATGGCCACTCTACAATCTGTTTCTACAAGCTTGGCTTTGTTAGATTCCACATATACAAAAGTGAAATATTGCAGGAAAACTCTATTTTAAAGTCTGAGCCTTTCAGTTGAAGAAAGCAAAGTTTCTATAGTCATACTGGTACCATAAACACAGCCCAAGGGGCTGACAGAGGACACAGAAACAGACCAGTCAACCTCAAAGTCCAGACAACAGAAGAAAATTAAAACCAGAACAGAGATTCACCAACTGTACTCAGCTAAAGGTTTCACCAAAACCCTAATGTGGAGGATCTGATGATACACATCAGAAATACTCTTCTGTATTACAGGAATATCATGTGTTTGTTTAATAGGCTGACTAGAGCTTATTTCAGAGTATGAGTTCCTTCTACACCAATATTTAGTTGACCTTAAAGTGTTTAAGGAAGCCATCCACATGCTGTAAGGCAGGTAGGTTCCCCAGCTCTCTCTTGCCCAAAATGAATTCACCAGTAAGAAATGCCTCTTACAAAACTGGAAAAGAAGCAAGGCTAAACTTTGCTCTGTCTGGAACATACCTAAAAACAAAGGTCATGAGTTTTAACACTGAATATTGGAGAAGAAAACTTTCAGGAGTACCCTTCTCTGTTGGTGCTTTTTTCACATGTGACTCACTGAGAATGCTTTATTGTCTAAGTGGTCTGGATTCTTTTCTCCCTTTCTTTACCTTCTCTTTCCCTCCCTCCACCCCCCCCTTGTTTTGTTTTGCAATAACTCCATTATGTTTCAGAGGTGACTTGTCCTATCTGAAATCCAACTGTGCTTACAATAGGCTACTAACTTATTTGGTGTTTGCTTTGCTTCTTATACTTTATTTGTAAAAGATCAAATTCTAAAGCCCTTTTGCTTCCCACCATCAGACTGGTTCAGTTTGTTTTGGAAAACGTTTTGATATCCAGTTTAATTTCTGCTGGAATAATACTGTATTAATTATAATTTAATTTCATCAAAGGTTACACTTATTTAAACTGTTTCACCTGAGGTGTGTTTTAGAAACAGTTGCTTTTAACTCATTGGTGCAATGGTTTTAAAATCAAGATACAGTTACATTTACTTCTTGTAAATAGTTCAGTTTGATTCTCATTGCTATTTCTAAAAGAGGACCATTGAACAGAGCTCTCAAATCAATACGGCTCCTCCAGGGAAGGCTCTGTAATCATGTTCAATCTTTTGCATCCACTTACTAGGTAGAGCTCCATATTTCTACTGCAATCATGATCCTACTGTAATCATAATCCTACTGAACAATTACATCGATAGTACTGTAGATATAATTGGGTTGTTTCAATTTCAAAACAAAAATTACAAGTTTCACTAAGAATTAACAAAAACTAAAAAAAGAACAGCTCCAAAAAATGACAAAAACTCAAAAACTATGGGGTTTAACTGAAATGACGTCTTCTTAGTTATTACTTCACCGGGGTCTGTCAAACAAGGAAAACCCGTGCTTGGAACACGTGAAGAAAACAAAACAAAACACAAAGGTGACAAAAATACTACCCAAACTCAGCTTTGCCTCTCCTGTGCTGCCTTGTGGGAGAGAGAAAACTCTCTGGGCCTTGTGTGTATAATGATGCGCTGGTCCGAGTGATGTCCCAGATTCCTTCTGCTTATGGCATTTATGAAAGGAATGCCATTTTACAATTTATCTTTAAAATAAAATTAACTGCTTTTCAGCAGATTTAGATGTCCTGGAGAGGAAATATCTTAGTCACATACATATCCATTGCTAGGCATAAACGTTATGCCACATTTTGTATTCTTAAGTTGTGACTTAAGAACATGATGGGAATTTAGAATAGGCTGAGGAAATTAACTATATAAGCCTGTTACATCAAGGCTCTCTCTGAAAATGCTAAGGCTCTGAACAATTGTTTGACAGCACACTCTCTAGCGGTTGTTTCATAGCACACAGGATCAAACTTCCAGAAAAGCTGTCTGCCCCGGAGAGTCCAGCCCGAGAACATGAAAGGCACTAGCGGCCCCCGCCTGCACTGGGCCCTCCAGCAGCCACATACCAAAGCTATGAGGAGGACCGTGTTCCACCACAGCACCTTGGGAAGTTTATCATCTTCCCTGGAGCAGTTCCTTCCATGTAAGTTATTTTTGGTCCAAGTGTTTTTCATTTGAAAACCATGCACACGTTGCTAAACCAGCAGAGCAAGTCTTTCAGGATCACCTCACCCACTCCATCAAGATCTGTGATTGTTCTCGGTCGGTTCCTGCTGCTGAATAATGCTTCCCTTGTCTTCACCCTGCTCAGCTCCTGGGTGGCTCTCCTGAAAGCGCACATCCAGACTAGACTCATTTACCCGTCGCCAAGCCCAGGCTCCCCAGATCCTCCCGTAGAGCCATGCACAATTCGTGAAGCGTCACCCTCCCTTTATTTACTTTGCTCAAAGCTGCACGTAACAGATTAAATTCCTGTAATCTCTTCTGTGTCATTCCTCTAATCCTTTTACTGGTCTGCTTTGCCGTTGTTGGGTTTATTTTTACCATTATCAACTTCCTTTTCTTTGTATGGGAAATACCAACTGAAGCAGTAGTCAGGTCAGGCAGAAGTCTCACACACACAGGTGCACAGACAGAAACCTTGACAGGAAGTTAGGAAACCTGGAATAAGGTCAGAGGTCCCACCAACTTCCTGTGTGACCTTTGACAAGTCAGATATATGCGACCAGCCACTGTTCACTTAAAACCTCCCTGTATCTTGTAAGGACCATGGAATAGAATTCTCATTCACTAGAGAGTTTTCAATAACAGGTGGTTGAATGCAAATGCCTGAAAATCAATCTTGGGAACTTATTCCAGCTGTAATTATTTATCTTCAATATTTAATTTTCTTTTTAGAAATTACCTCATTATAGATTTCTCCATATCACAGTTGACTTGTTTATTTAGCCTGATTATTAAGGCACATTCTGGTATCAGCAGGTCGCTTCCTCAAAGAATCGACTCAAAGTCACCCCAGCTACAAAACGGGACACCCCCCTCGCCGTCCTGCTCAGGTCCATTAGGCTGAAGGAGGGACACACACAGTTTAGGGCCCATCTTGGAAAGGTCAGTCAGCTTCAGTTTCTCAACAAAAAGAAAGAAAAATGAGAAGGAAACCACGCTGCCTTATTGGCAATTCAAGGTTGTTGACAGAAGCCTTCACGCTTGCCCCAAACTGCTGTCTCCCCAACAAGCCCTCCACTGCCCAGGCGTCAGAGGAGGGCAAACGAGATCATATATCTGAGGTACTTGGTCTCCTTGTAGGACGGGGGCCATATAAATCCTCAGTACTGTCACTTCCAATTCTTTCCATGCTTTTGACCTTAGCTGCCTGAAAGTAATTTATAATTGGTGGTAAGGGCACCTGGGCACACCTCCAGCCCCCTCACAAGCACAGAGCCTGAGGCAAGGAGCACTTGGCAGTCATACCACTGGACCACAGGGCCCCCTCGCTGCTTGAGTAAACATAATTATAAAGACAATAGCAGCTCTGACATCCGCATGGCAGTCCAGGTGAGCTATGGCCACACTAAGATGGGAGGCTAAATCAGAACGTGCCTCCCACTTTCTCAGGCATCCCTCCCTCACCTGCTTGAGTTTGCCAAGTGAAGGACAGTCAGCTCTGCTGCAGTGAGAAGGACTGGTGGCTACTCGGGAGACCGTCTTTATAACGCCGGCTCCATGGGAAAGTGTTGCTGCAATGTGTGTGTGCTTGTGTGTGTGTGTGTGTGAGACAGACAGAGACAGACAGAGAGAGAGAGTGTGTCACTGGGTTCAGGGACTCAAAAAGGAAAAACAGATGTGGATAATTACCCTGAGTAGGCCAATAAAATAAATGCCAAAGAAACAAAAAAAGGAATGTTAATTTGCTGTCCTGTTTAATGTCATCACTTTCACCCCAGCATACAGATCATAAAGTTTCATCTTTCTTACAACTCATATTGTTACAATTTTATAAGTTGTATCTCCTGACATTTTCCAATTTGCTCCCTTTGTCTATTTCCTACTGCTGTTACCTTCAGAAGGACCCTAGCAGCCTGT